ACACAGCAGAGGAAACGAAAGCGAAAACTCACGTTTTCAGACAACGCGAAATGAGCTTCACTCACGTCGGGCCCGAACGCAGAACGTCAACTTGTTTCCTGCCAGTCATGCGCAGTGGACCTTTTGGCTTTTCCTTGATCTCATGGCGCTCCCGTCGCCGTCCGCGTTGTCTTTGCTTAAAGTCCCAGGTAACCGGGCCAGCCCGGCTACTCATATGAACACATCGACATTTTTACGAAGAAAAGAGTGGCGAGGCGAGAACTCGGAAACCGAGCCAGCCCGGTTGACCGGGCTGATATGAAGAGGCCCTGAGAATTCCCAAGTGGATTGACTACATTTTTACTACGGTAACCAGCACGAAGAATCTTAGGTAATTTCGCGGGTAGCCCGTGCTATCTAGGAAGCAAGTATAAGAAGTGTACAGGGAAAAGTTCTAAGCGGTTAATTAGATGGCAGAGGCATCTTGGAAGATTCATGTTTCTTTTTGCAGTGCGTTTCCTAAACGAAAAATTGATGCAGTCAACACATGCCAAATTAGTATTTTGCGCAGTATGTTAAACGTTTTTCATTGCTGCTTTTATGCCTGAGGTACTCTTCTTTTCTTCACCTAGGATAATTAAGATAATATGTATCCATCCATAGACTTTTCATGGAGTCCACGCCATTCCTAACTTTTTGAGGTGGAATCAGTTCCGGTTCCGGTCCCGGGATCATTTGCGGTACAAGTTCGGGATCATTTGCGGTTCGGGGATCATTTCCGGGCCTGTACAGATCAGATGATCATGACACTGTTTTTAAAATTCAAAACGGCTGCTACTAAACAAATGACATGTTCATGGCAATGGAGATTTTCTTCGATTCGCCCTTATCCATGAGGGTACCCATTGCGCCGAGCTCGAGGTGGACCACAGCTTCATGCTTCCTCAACAACTTAAACGGATTGACTCATTTCAAATAGTTCTTTAAGATATTTTTCTTGCTTGGTCTTAAATTTGGCAGCAAGGGGAACGTTAACTGCATCGCAAAGATCGCAATAGAGACAATGAAGACCCAGTTGCCGGTAACTACCGGGGTCGTAAAGAAACCTTTCACCAATTTGGTGAGTTGAAATCTTAAGTACTAAGGTTACGATTTCGTAAGACTCCTTGAAATTGCGACGGGCAGAAATTTTACGATTCAAAAAGTCTTATGAGCGGGCTCGTGCCTCTCTTCAGTCCTACCTGGAGGTCTTAAATCTTGTTCGTTTCCCATTTTTCTTAAATTTGTTGCAGAGATAGAAGACATCCCTTCTACGTCAGATTTTATGGAGGTAAGTGACACGTAATTCTAGTTTTGTTTTTCGCCTGTTGTAGAATTAAAGGACTATAGATTATATAATTACTAAATGATGGTCTCTTGTAATTATTTAATATTTCATCTGGCCAGTACTGAGTTATGAGATCTATGAGTATTTCTAGACCATGACACTGATAATCCCTCCAATTTGCAGCTGTTTGGGTTTTGTCAGGTCTATAACACAAGGCCTTGGCAAGTGCTTTAAGATCTTATAAAACACGGTCTTCTCTTTGAATCTATTAAATTAAATCTGATGCATACCTTGAAATTTTAGTTTTGAACGGGATAATTGAGTTTAAAGTTTAGCCTCGTTTTTAGTCATGTATTGAAAACACTTCTTACAAATTAATTGTTTTTTGGATTGCGTCTACGAGATTGAAATTAGTTTGATAAAAAATAACTTGAAAAACGTGAATTGAATTTAACTGATGCGACGGTCCTTTCAAAGAGGATTAATCAGCCTTGCTGCTTAACATAAGAGAGCTTCAAAGAGTAAATTAGTCGGAAGCATTTGAACCGGGTTTTTTTCTCAAAATAATCAAAGGTGCTTTTTCTTGAGAAAGAGTGAAATTATTTACAAGTAAACAAGTCAAGGGGATATTTAACTCATTGTTCTGTTGACTTGGCTTTGATAGGATCATGCCTTCCTTTCGCATGATCGTCCTGGTTTTAAAGAGCTAACAAGGCCCTTTCTGATTTGTAGGGTTTTGAGATCAATCAACAATTTTGGCTTTAATTTTGTAGGAGATAGGACGTGCAAAAAACAACCATCAGAAACCGTTAAGGTTTAGCGATCTGTCCAAGGCTCAAAAGCAAGAAGATAGAGAGGATTTAGAAAAGCTTAAAGTGAAGGCGAACTTAATGAAAATCAGAGTGAAAAATATCATTTCGAGTATCCATGAAGCAGCTCGCCAACTTGATGAAGTGTGGATAGAGTCCAAGGCATTACATGCTACTGGAACAGTTGGTAATATAGTGGGTGGGCTTCTTACAGTAGCAGGAGGAATTGCGACAGCAATGACAGCGGGTGTTGCCACGCCTTTGTTAGTAGCAGGCATGGGTATCGGTGTTGCTGGAGCTGGTACAAGCCTGTTGACAAGCTATCGTGAAACCGCCATAAACTGTTCAGAAATCAAGAAAGCCGAAAGGAAGTTGCAGGATGTTAGAGAAAGTATAGCAGATATGAACAATACTATCCAAATGTGGCTGGAAACGAAAGAGGACGCACGCTTGTTGTACATTTGCTGCCTTGCTGAGCTAAAACCGGACAAGAATTACCTCGTGACAAAGCTCTTACAGAAGGTGGTTTTGCAGACCATAATGCTCTCTGCGGTCAACGTTTTGCAAGCGACAGGAAGGACAGCAACGCGTCCAGGAGTGTTCGTTGCGGACTTAGTGGTTTATAGAACGGTAAATGCTGCGACGAAGGGTTTAGGTGGTGGTAGAGCCAAAGCTGCTAGTCAAGTTGCAAGTAAAGTGACGATCGGAGTCAGTGCTGCGTTAGTGTTATGGGATGTCATAGACCTGTATTACACCATCAAAGACAGTTGAAGACAAGGGATCTGAAGCGGCACGATGTTTTAGACAAAAGGCAAACGAACTTGTGAGGGTGTTTTGTGATAAGTCGTGAGGACTATTTTCCAGTGGATTTCTTAAGTGAAACAAAGATCATCTACATCTTAAGAGACTAGCTAGGAAAAAAAACAAATAACTGAACCTACAAGTGATTCCCTTCAGCCGAATTTGTACAAAGTGCATGCAGTTTACCTTTCAAACTGAGGTACATTGTTGGCAGCCGAAATTAATTTGGGATGATAAGAAATATTCGAGAGGGATTATTCAGTTTATCACAATAACAGAAACTCGTTGCTTAGAGGAAATAACCAGCAAAATAGAAATAGTAAGTTTACTATGTAATATTTCCTGTTCTCATAATAACCTAGTTTTGTCAAAACTTAGCTCCGCTCTTAGGGCTTCGACAGACACGAGGGATCAACTAACGTTTCTATTAAGCTCATTTATTCATATATTTTTCGTTGCTGCGCTTTGCCTCCACAAATACCTCAGTTCACAATATAAACACATATAACGTGCACAAACACAACCCTCCACTTTGCTTTGAGAAGACCTGATGCTTGAATGTCAGCTTTACAAATTCGCTACGGCGGTTACGTTTACGCCCGGGTGGGGAAGGGGGTGTGGTAGATGGCAAATGAAAAGGACCGGGCTGCTCATCGCACCTTTTAGGGGTTAAAAAAACGGTAACCCTCAAAAGGTCCACAGCGGGAGCTTTAGCGGTAACTTTTAGGGTATTGAACCGAAAAAATATGACGAGATGATGTGTTGTTTTAGAATTGGTACCTTTTAGGGGTGACAACCTTTTGATCCACACCCAAAAAAACCAGCATCTTGGTACCTCTTAGGGGTTCTTTTCAAAATTTCCGATGAGCACCCCGTCCCTTTATATTAGAGTTCCCCCGAGTGTTATTGCTTATCATCTTAAAGTTGATAGTAACGTATATTATATATTTTACTTGCTTGTCGGCACGGCGCAACATTCTCTAGAAACTAATAGCTCTGCTCATGGATATTTGATTTAGATTAGCGTTGCGAAAACATAGGTAAGATTTCTATAGATTAGCATTTTATCAAAATCTTCCATTTTAACTGTTTTAGTCATTTATTGACTAGTTACTCTTTTAAGGCTACCTTATAGAGCATAAAGTTATTATCAGTAACGAGAAGCATATCACTTAGTAGCGTCTTTTCATCGTAAAATGTTTCAAATTGTATTGCTCCTCCAAAATTGCTATAATCAATTGCATTGATCTTAGAAATGCTTTAAAATGGCTTTAAAATCACCTTGTTACGTTTACCATTTATTTCACTTGTAATATTTAGTTCCCAATGACTGGAAGATTATCTCCAATGGGTACAGAGAACTAGCAATGAAAGCATAGCTCATGGTTTTATTGCTGGTCCTCATGTTATACCTCTCCTGAAGTTCAGGCTCAATGTAGCTTGTGTACAGGGAACTCCATTACCCAAAACAGTGTGACACAGGTAATTTGAAGCAAATGTGAGATTAAAACTCATTCTGACACTGTAAGTCTTGTGGTCAACAACAATGATCAGGTAGTGATGTTAACACTTTTTACATTGGATATATTTTTACATTTTGCTAGAAACAGATTCCATGTCACGGCACCTCCTCATAATGACTGTAATCAAGCCAGTGCAACTGTAGTAGTAAGCTTTCAATAAACCGTTTTTCACTTCTTTTGTCTGTGTCCCCTAGGCCTCACTATCAAGCTGAATTTTAATATATCGAAAGTGGCCTATTACTACAACTGAATTCAGTATGACCAAGTTTAGTTGTATATCATCTATACTAAGATTTTTTGACTAAAATAACCAAATTGTAACAACTTCTTGAAATAAAAGTAGAACTGATGCAAGTCTATTCTTGAACACTTGCAGTAGCTGTTAAAACTTGAAATCACTACACTGTATGCCCCTTTGTTAGTCAGTTGCAAGGTCATTAAGTACTCTGTTTTGGTCAATTACATGCAGTAGGTTCTAAATTTGATGTTGTAGGCATACTGCCGCTTTCCTTGTTTGATAACTACAGTGTAGATGGAAAAAATTAAGTTATTTCTTGGGAAATATAGCCAACATGTTAATCCCAAGCCCATAGTCTTTTAAAACACCAATTGGTAATTTAGCATGTGCTTCAAACATTTTGGCTGGTTTAGGAGCAGACTTGGCGTGGGGGCAAGGGCTGAATTGAGTGACTAGCCACCCCCTTATGGAGAAGCAAAAAAAATATATAAAAAAGGTGAAAAATATTGTGGTTATGATAGAAAAAAAAGGCACTCTGAAAAGGTACCTAATAATTTATTGCAATTTCTACTTTGTTGCGTTGCTAGTATTTCTGGTGTAACAGTTTCAATAACATGTAGGTCCAGATTCGCAAAAAGTAACATTTTGTGCGCGTGCCCCATTAATTCTGCAACCCTGTGGTACCAACCCCAACCCCCTTCAAAAATCCTTGATCCACCCCTGCTGGTTCTGGTTTAATCTTTGTGTGAATGACAAAGATTTTGCACCCACTACTCATCCGGACACACATGGTGATTAAATTGGGCGTGTTGGACAGCCAAGCCACCGTGCCATTTATTAAGTGTCAGCACTTACCAGATGTTTCAAAGATTCGAAAACTAAGTGCACTAAGGCCGGAAAACAAAATCCCCGAAAAACTAGCAGGTGGAAAAAAAAAGGGAAAGTGTGCCCTCAACGAAGGCAGTGGTTTCAGAGTATCCTCATTAAATGTAGTGTACACAAATGTTGTAAATTACAGTGATGTAATAAAATGATAGAATGTCTCGCCTTGCCAATGGCAACTAGTTTAACTCGCTGAACACTGCGCACCTCCAACCTGGCCCCATCCCTCTGCTCTGTGCCAGCAAAATACTAATTTATGCTAATTTGGTATTATCACAAATTACATTTTCCCTTTGCCCTCTTGTTGAGGCTGCCTTTGGGTGGCCATTTTTAATAAGAATTAGGATTAAGCCTATGTAAAAAATATATATATAAATTTTTTTCTGAGATTTAACCCATTGTAAAGTTGCTTGTGCTACACCACCACCCCCCAAAATTAATGATGGTTTTTCACAAGTGAAAGAATCAATGTGCGGAGCAAGTATGGTTTGGGTTGTTGGTTAGGACAAAAGGGCCTAAATTGCTTAAAAGAAACCTTCAGAGGTAAGTTATTGTTATTTTTGTGATAAAAACGGATTCTATACTTGTTTAAAGGGATAAGCTTTCTTTCAATGAGTTTTCTCTGCAAACATCATCTTTGCGAGTTTGGCTTTGTGTTACCTTACCTTACCAGTGTGCATTACTTTTGACCGCGTGAGAATCAAGATTTAATGTGCTTTATACAAAAAAAGCAGAGTACATGAATAACAGTAAAAATCAAACGTTAACAAGCTATTTACCAAATAGAAGATGCTTTTTCACGATATATTTGTGTTCATGAGTACACAGCAATATCATTATAAAACAAACATGTCATTTGGACACTACCCATGGGTGGAGCATCTGCACTTATCTAAGGCCCCACCATGGGGATTTTCTATGCACCAAAACAAACTGACAAAAGCCCGGGGGGTGGGGGAATGAATTGACAGAGTCATGAAGAACTGGGAGTTCTCAGAAACAGTCAAATTATTGTAGATGACTGAACAACATTAGATATAACAATTCAAGACAGGCAGTGAACATGCTGGGAAAAATTTACCATAATCGATACGAAATCTTCACGTCGCAACGAATTTAACATTGACGAGATCAAAGTTCTTGCAGATTTATTTATACTTGCTTGAACAATCGTTTCCTGTTGGTCGTGACTAGAGGGTCCGAACATCGACCAAACAAACGGATTACATACACTCTACAAAAACAAATTAACAACAAAACATGAAAATATTAAAGCAACAAACCGAGCCACAAAATTATACACTTAATTATCGTGAAAAAAAGGTGTAGGAATCACACCAACTCACGGAAAAAAACAACTTCAAGTCCGATTTTGACCGTTTACGCCTTGTAAAAACGATGGGAGCCCCAGACCGTTTCTTAAATTGAACTATCGATCTAAAGTTCCATGCAAAAATAATCCACAATACTGATACCTGTCTCCCAGCAAACGACCAAAAGATTGTATGTCAAGCGCGTGTGCTCAACAAACATTTTCAACATAGCATGATTAATTTCAGACTTGTTTTGATAAATGCTTCCCTGCAATTGAGATATCGATAATCTCTGGCCTTGATATTACACTAGCGGCTCGTAGAAAAAGCTCGTTTGATTCTCTTGATGAGCGCAGAAAAAGGTTGAGAAACGACAACCTACTCTCAACACGAAAACAACAATCGTGTCCGCCATTGCTGCGGCAGAACTCAAATACTGTGATGTGCCTGTTAATAAACAATACCCTAGAGTTTATTTTGAACGGAAATGTTAGGTGGACAGGTCGAGCAGTTTACTTCTCTGTGACAAGTGGGAATGTCGTTGATCAGTCTCTCTTATCCGTGGTCAGTATCACTAGAAGGTTACGTTTCGTTAGTTATTGCTCTGTAAGATGTGAAATACCTACCAGTACTCTGTGTAAATATTAATAACTAGATTTAAAAAACGAGTAATAGACAAACCTTAAATGCAAAGCTCAGTGCTAACACTCCATAAGGATGGTGATGATGATGGTTGAATGATGATGATGATGATACTGATGATGATGAAGATGAAGCTGATGATGAGGGTGATGATGATGATGATGAGGGTGATGATGATGACGATGATGATGATGATGATACTGATGATGATGAAGATGAAGCTGATGATGATGATACTGATGATGATGAAGATGAAGATGACGATGAGGGTGATGATGATAACGATACGATAACGATAACGATATTGATATTGATAATACCAATACTTCGATAAATCGAGGCGCAGGGCCCAGGATCAAGATGGCACCTTTA